AGAGGAGAATGGGCAGAGGTGGTTGCTGCGATATTCAGATGGTAGGGTCAGAATTTGGCCTAAACAACATGAAAGCATGGATCCATCCTGCCTTGTATCAACAGTTCAGGCTGGTGGTGGTGGTGGTGTAATGGTGTGGGGGATATTTTCTTGCCACTAGCAAGGTGTACCTAATAAAGTGGCCGGTGAGTGTATATGTAAACTTAAAAAAATAGTTTGTTCTTTTTTGTACTTTATACCCCTTTGAAATTAGTATGTTCACCTTGTGTCCCAGAGGAATATACTGGACATAGTTTCTTTCTCACTCAACTTATTTTTTACTTCTCTGTACTGGCTTGCTGATAAAAAAAAATAGTGGTATTCCCCCTTTTCTTTTTTCTATTCCTTTAAAACAAGTGCATCAAAAGACTGACAATTTTTTTAGACAAGTTAAAATGTTATATATTTTAAAATTCCAGCTTGGCCAGTTCAACAGGGACCAGCTGAGATTTGATCCATCTATAGGCAGACTGGTTGTACTGAAGTTGATCCATTGATTAACTTCAGTACAACCAGCCTGTTGGATTGTTTTCATGTGATCACTGCCAGCACCTAAAGCCGTCACCAGTGATCATTGTGTTCTGCCGGCAGGGAAAGTTCTCCACCAGTAAAACACAATAGCCCTGCCGGAGGGATTCTCCCAGCAACACTGACTGTGTTGATGGGAAATCGAACAAATTTCTTTCCTTCCACCTGTGGAGGAAGGAAAAAAAAATAGCATAATCTATGGGCTGATTAAAAGACTGCCCTCCTTCTCAGAAATACAGGAGAAATATTCTATTACTACCACAGCCTTTTACTTATATTTGCAAATTCACCATTACACTTAAACACTTTCTCCCAGCCAACAGTTTTTGCTGCCTAAACCCTTTGAACGGGTCTGTTTGGATGAATCATCCAGGAAAGGGTTAATATCAAAAGCATAAATACATGGTTGAGTGGGAAACAGATTTAGCCTGGGAACTACCATATACAACATGGCAAACCATATGCAGAAGGGCTAGTAAGGGCTGTATGTGCTCACTATACCAAGAGAACACATTTCAAATTATCTCCGGTTGATACTATAATCCAAAACATCTCTATTCAATCTATCCCTCCACCTCCAATTAATAGTGGAGGTGTGGAGTGTCAGTGGGCACTTTATACTGTATCACCTCTTCTAGTTCTTTCACAGAACTGAACTATTTTCACAGACGGCTTGGATTGCAAAACTCACTGATAAACTGGTATTTCCAGACCCTCTATGGTATCTCCAGACCCCCTATTGCCTTTTAGGAGTACCTTGAGGAGGTGTATCCCCTAAAATTAACCAATTTTTTAAGTCCGCAAACGTGCAACTATAACGAAAAACCCGTAAGTGTTCACAAAAAAATGTGCAAGTGCAAAACACCACACGAAAAAGTGCACTTAGGGGTGTGTTTGTCCTACCCCCGAAAGGGTTGGACCGTTCACCCGATCCCCCGGGGCACGGCAAAGCTCCTGACAGGGACAAGGTTCCCATTTGGTCCTCCTGGCCAAAAGGCCTGGTGGACCACCGTTCCTTATGCCCAGCCGAAGCCGGACATCCAGTACTAGGCAAGGGGGTTCTCCCGAAGAGAAAACCCCCTAGGGATCAGGGGAGGAAGGAACCGTATGGCCACAAATCCTCCCCCTAGACTTCAGGTAAGGCCCGAGGACCCACACCCTCCATCCGTGAAAAACACACACACATAAGAACAGAAAAAGTGACAAAACGTGGGAGTGGTAAATAAATAAATAAATAAATAAATAGAAAATAAAAAAAAAAGTGGTACCGTGCCTAATAGTGCACAGACCAGGCCCTGAGGCCTGTAGCAAAAATTGCCCCGGACTTAGCCAAAAGACCTGGTCCTTAGGGCGCTGTGCAAAAAGAAGTGAAAAACAGTGGCCATGTGTCATCTTCACACCGTGGGGTCCCACACCCAAGTGTGTTACTAGTGACACCCCTGAGGCGACTACTCAGGGGGCACTGAGTTTGCGGACTTTTTGCGTCCCCAGCCCCAGGCCAGACCAAGGTAGATCCGTCCAAATCAGGAGGTACTGGGGTCTTTCCAGTCTTCTCAGAGGAATTACTCCCGGGGCCCCAGCTTATACTCGTGGCGCTCCCCCGGTTTCTGTCCCTCCGGTACTAGCCTTCCGGACCCCCCATCATACCAGTGAGGGTACTATACAACAACCATCCCCGCAAAGCTAGAATGGTCGGGAGCACCCCCACTGGACACTGATAAGAACAGATACTACACTTGATCTTAGCCAAAAGCAAAATTAACCAATTTATAGCTCAAACCCGGTCTGCGTTAAAATGCCTGATAACATTGCACTGCAAAAGAACTGCTCCGCCATCACAAAAGGACCTTTATATCTGTATTGGGGAGATTCAAGCAATGGAATTCATTTTGTAAAGCGCTGCACAAACTGTTTGGCGATATATAAATCCTGTATCATAATAATAATGGAGCTCCTATTGGCCAAACTTCACAACACCCTTAACTAATCTGTTGTAATTTGGGAACTCTGGAATCTTATTCAAACAGATTTTTCAGTACCATCCTGAATAAACATGCTACCACTGTTATTTCTCTTTTCTCTTAGGACTCTACTTTGTCTATACTTATTTTCTGTTCTTTTTCATTCCTTATATATACCTTACCTCCTTTTGTACCAATAGAAAACTTGGATTTTGTCCATGATACTGTATGCTACCAGAATAATTAATTTTTAATGTGATGCTTATTTTTCTCCTACGTATTCTGATTTGCATGTTATTTACATAGATTTCTATGTCATTCTTTTTCTATACACCGCTGGGAAAAATGGAAAAAAAATACTTTCCATAAACAGTTATATAAAAAATCTATTAGGGGCTGCCATGTGACAATTAGGCCTTCTGATCAGGCCTTCTGGTCCTTCACACCAAATTTAATGGTTTTTAATATCTCACTTCCCAACCGCTTCCTCCACACTTTTCAAGACGACTTCTGGGAATTTTCAATACTTGGGGATCTACCTCACTAATTCATAGAACACATTGTATGTAGTGAACTACCCACCTCTTTTTCATAAATGTAAAACTTTGCTTACAACCTGGAATAACTACCCTGTTTCCTGGCTAGGTCACATAGCGGCAGTTAGAATTCCCTATCTTCCAAAGTGATTACATCTTTTCTAGGTACCGTCATGTGTCCTTTGTATTCTTCAATGGCAAATTCTACAATTCATCTGGAAACATCACTGAACTTCCTATAAACTATTTCAGCCTAGGCTCAATGATGAATTGGAAGCCTCCTACTTACAGAAATATTACCAAGTTGCCCAGTTAGTTACCTTGTCTAAATACTGCACTATCACTGAAACATTCTTAAGAATATCTGTTGACATAGATGACTATGATCTCTTAGGTATAGTTAATATGCTTTGATGCCTTCAAAAAAAATAGATAATTTTTTGCAGAATCCAATAACTATCCGTTACCTAAAAATGTGGGAAGACCTTAAATATTCACATCATGGCCTAAAAAACATTGTTTTCCCTAATTTACACAGAATGAATGTACATGCAAATTTGCTAGACCCAGCAGCATATTTACTGTGAGGCAAACAAGGCATTTGCCTAGGGTGGCAATTTTCAGGGGGGCTGTGACACCTTCCCCCTCAGAGGAAGGGACACGTGTGGCAGGGATGGGGACCTAGTGAGGCTCCACCATGGAATCCGAGGAGGCTGCATGCTGGAGGGTGTAAACTTCTTGCACAAGGAAGGCAAACACTGTGCTTGGCTCCAGGGGTGGCTGGCTGCTTTCCAAAGAGATTAAGGTTAGTGCTTGACTAACTCTTTCTCTCTCTCTCTCTTCGGGTGGGACCGGGGGGATGTGGTTGGTGGAGAGTGGTGGTTGTGGGGCCTGGAGGGGTTGGGATGGATGGTGGAAAGCGGCGGGGCCCCAGGGGTGCTGGTTTGTGGCGGGGAGGGTGTGGTGGTGGGGGGTGCCCAATTTTAGTGTTGCCTAGGGCAGCACAAGAACTAAATACACCCCTGGCTAGATCAATGGCTATGCAATTTTTTATTATATTTTTGTCTAAATTTGATCCAGAGACCTGTGCCTCATTCATTTTGACAGTCGCCTAATAGACCTGTGATTTTCGCATGTGTCCTTACTGCCTGCCCTATGGCACCCCAACAAGGCTTCAATGCGCTCACCCCCTCTGCACCCTTCTCAAGTTGGTTTCCTCCCCTACCCTGTCTATCCACTCTGAACAACTCTGGATCTCTCTACAGTGCCTTGAAAAAGTATCCATACCCCTTGACATTTTCCACATTTTGTCATGTTACAACCAAAAAGGTAAATGGATTGTATGTGATAGACCAAACACAAAGTGGCACAGAATTGTGATGTGGAAGGAAAACGATAAATAGTTTTCAAAATCTTTAACAAATATGTATCTGAAAAGTGTGGCATGTATTTGTATTCAGCCTCTGGTACTCTGATACGCCTAACTAAAATCTAGTGGAACTAATTGCCTTCAGAAGTCACCTAATTAGTAAATAGAGTACCACTACGTGTTGGTCTATCACAAAAAATCCCAATAAACTATATTTATTTTTAGTTGTAACATGACAAAATGTGGAAATTTTCAAGGGGTGAGAATACTTTTTCAAGGCACTGTACATCTGGTTTACATTTGAGACTGTGTTTTTGCTTACTTAGTCGATTATGGTAGCATTTTGTAATGGTTATGCCTTGTTGGTGGTATATGCAATGTTATAGCCCCGTGCAACATGAAACCAGTGATATCTGTTATATTTTGTGTAATCTTTAATTTGCAATAGGAAATGCAACAAGAACACTAAATAGGGGCATGTACAGTATTTCTTCTAAAACAAATACAGTTCTATTCTTCATGTCAGTGTTTATTGCCATGCATATAATTACCACATTTCTTTTTCAGGATATGGTCACTTATTACTTGAACCTTACGTATGCAAATAAAGAGTCACCTAGGTGGGAGAAGGAATACCGCCTTACAGAATCATTTCAGGTACCAGATGGATCTCCACAGTCTATGCATGATGTACTGAAGAAAATATCAACTGATACTTGCTTTCTACAAAAGTACTATGAGTATAATTCAGTCAGCTATGATCTAGAAAATTGTGATGACTACTGTAAAATTGATCATGTATGTGCTATGAGTGAAGTGGACTTTACAAAATATGCTACATGTATAAAGAATGGAAATGTAGCTTTTAAGCCTGCCTATCATCTGACTGTGATGTTGGCTGTGTTGCTTATGTATGTTCTGAATTATAAATAGTTGCATAAAATATACCATTGAGCAATTCCTTTCAGAACCATTTGTAAACATAACCCAAATGTTATTTCATATTAATTTAAACCCATAATTATGGTTTTTGTTCCTGACCACAATTTGCCAGGTATAAGGCCTGGTTCACATACATGTTGCAGGTTTAGCAGTATATTAATTTCAATGGGTTGCCCTAACCTCAAACAAACAGAGATGTGAACCTAGCCTTAGGGTGCAAATTTTGACTACCAAATCTGTGTGAATATTTTTCCTTTGCAGTATGCTTATCTGGGCATATGCAAACCAGAAAAACACAGCTCAGCTCCTGTTATACATTTGGAGCGCTGATCCTGCATTAAGTAGTTGTATTTATTGGAGGGTACAGTTTGAAAATTTTGGGGGAGTAATTGGTTTGCATATCAGCTGTGTTTTTTTACAGGGAAATTTAGATAAAAGTATAGAATAGAGTGTATTTAGTAACTCTTATAGTTCCTACACAGTATACTGTTTTAAATAAATAAGTGCAGCGCTGATATATATTATAAACCAAAATAAATAAAATATATCAGTAAAAAGTTCCAATAAAGATTGGTGATAGTGATAAGTTGCCTCTTGTGCTATGGTGACACTGGACCCGGTATCATTGAAAAGGTAATGCGCACTCACCGGACGCGCATAATGTTTGCGCCTTGTAACAATAATCCAGATGTCATCAGATAGAGGACTGGTTTAGGAGATGCTCTTCCCTCTTCTGGGATGGTGGGTCATCATATTGGATGATAAGCAGCTGATGAAGACACTCTCCGTCCACTAGATGCCCCTCTCTCCAATAGATATCTCTCAGGGTGTGTGAGTATCCCCTAGGAAGTACTAGTCCGTCCTTGGTATAGTGGGTCTGCAGGCTAAAAAGCTCCCTTTCACTGCTGTAGGTGCCGGAACCGCTGAAAAAAAAGCCCCGGGCACAAGTATTCAGAGACTTTGCAATAACACTTACTCAATCACCCCAGCCTCATTGTGCCCTTCCCCCAACAATTGAGTTTAATTATAGGATTGCCTCATCACTCCGAGGGTGAGAGCTACCCTGCCAGTCCGGGCTGAGAGCGGAGAGCACACGGTGCCGGCCTGCAGCTCTTTATAGAGCCCACACCACAGCCGGCCAGTCCCATACCCATCCCCCCCTCCCATCCCAAACATCTGGATGAGGGAGCCGGAAGCGGAAGTGCAGGAGAAGCCAGAGAAGAGGAGGAGCGGAAGTGGACTCCAATCAAGGGGTAGAAACATCTCATCAACGATCAAAAGAAATGGGAGGCACCTGAGATAAATTTCAAGTGTCGTTGCAAAGTCTCTGAATACTTGTGCCCAGGGCTTTTTTTTCAGCGGTTCCGGCACCTCCAGCACTGAAAGGGAGCTTTTTAGCCTGCAGACCCACTATACCAAGGACAGACCAGTACTTCCTAGGGGATACTCACACACCCTGAGAGATATCTATTGGAGAGAGGGGCATCTAGTGGATGGAGAGTGTCTTCATCAGCTGCTTATCATCCAATATGATGACCCACCATCCCATAAGAGGGAAGAGCATCTCCTAAACCAGTCCTCTATCTGATGACATCTGGATTATTGTTACAAGGCGCAAACCTTATGCGCATCCGGTGAGTGTGCATTACCTTATCAATTTGCACTGGTACCGGGTCCAGTGTCACCATAGCACAAGAGGCAACTTATCACTATCACCAATCTTTATTGGAACTTTTTACTGATATTTTATTTTGGCTTTTTTTATTATTGTTTGTTTAAGGTGTTCTATTGGTTACCTTTTTGTGCACAGTCGCTTTACCTTTATTACTTCTTTGGCGCTCACAATTTTATCTATATATCTCAGAATACTGTTTTAGCTTACCCAGAAGTTCTACTTTAAACCCTAAGGTTCAGGCAGGTGCTGCCACCTATACTGCTGTGTGCAGGCAACTTATGGATGCAGATGCAGTGGCTGCAGGGACATAGCCACATTTCAAAATTTGACAGCTATGCAGGAATGGATGTACACTGTCTGGATGCACACTGGTGTCACTGTTAGAGGTAAGGAATAAAGTGGTGTCATCTCCCCAACCTCAGTCTATTGACTGGACAATAAATGAGCAACACAAAAACTACTATAATGTAATTTCACTCATCTTTCTTCTCCTGTTACCATCTGAGAACATGTGCATGCAGCAGAGCCTGATTGGCTCCCAGTGCTGTCCCTCCCGCTCCCACTCTGCAGTTGTAGAAGGGATGACAGGGGGCCGATACCAAGACAGATTCAACGATTAATGCTAGTTATATGCAAAAATACAGTGAATTACTGTTAGGACTCGTTCACACTGCCCGCAGACTAAATTGGAGTTAGTGTGCAGGCAGCTGTTCGTTCCGGCTGCAGTGAGATGGTGGTAGGGGGCGCTGTAATGCACATTTCAGCGCATCAGACTGTCCCCTTTTTTCATTTTTGGTCAGCTTTATTTGAAGTGGACAAAGTGACACTCCATTCATGTCACTGCACAGCAGTGCAATGGATTGAGCAGCTGTGCGGTGACATGCGGTCCCTTCCTGTGCGGAAGGAAGCATGTCTGCATTTTACTGCAGCTCATTGCACTGCACCTCTGGGCTGCATTAAAGAAGTACACCACTGCATTCAAATTGCTTTCTTATATTCACCCAGAGTTCATCTCCATGTCTATATTAAAGAGGAAGTATAATCCCCTTCATTTTAGCAATGCATTGTATAGGAGCATCCTCTCCAGCCACTGACATATTCGTCCAGTCTTCTTTCAAGGTCCAGTCTCCTGCCGGTTTGATTGGCAGGACCGAGTTGATGTTACTCAGCGCATATGGGAGTTCTTTCATCTCAGCTGTTTCTGACATTGCACACTAATCGGCATGTGCACAGCTCAGTGTACATTGAAAACAACAGGTAAGAATTCTTTCATGCAGAAGAGACTCTTCTGTCTTTATCCTGCCTGATAACAAATTTTTATGTAACTGCTTAAGGTCCGCCCTATAGCAGGAATACTGCTATAGGGCGGACTCCCTGCACAAAATCACGTGTATATATACGTCACTGTAACTTGATACATTGCACACAAAAACCGCAGTGTTCGCAGAATAAGGCCTGATCTCTGCTAGCACTTGCAGGTACATTTTTTTTTTTTGTAGCGGTTCAAGCAGTTCTTGGCAGCCAGGTGCTCTTTTTCCCGTGAGTTGCACTAGGTACCTAATAAATTTAGTGGCCAAAATGTCCAACAATAGGTACTCTAGTAAAGAGGCCTACCGGATTCTGAGTATGTCATATGAGAGCGAAGGGGAAGCCTCACTGACAGAATCAGGCTCAGAATACGAACCTGTAGACAGCAGCAGCACCCTGACAGATAGCTCAGACAATGGAGTAGAGGTCCCTGTTAAGGACTCAGGTTGCTGAGGTGGTAAAATTGCATGATGATTCTCATATGCAGCAGAGTGCCAGTACTAGTGCCGCTCAAACTTTTGGTGAACTGGCAAGCACCAGCGACCTAGTACATCCTGGTCTTATACATACCAGCACTGCAGTATCAATTGGTGACATGGCGAGTCCCATAAGTGCAGTACAAGCTGGTGCAGTGGCGAGCACAGTAATGTCCTGCTGCCACCAAGAATTCGCACACAGGCCTGTAGAGCCCATAGTGTCCTTCTGGATGTACTTGCAAATCCTTATTGGCAGCCCACAAATTCTGCAGCACCCGTACTTCCCCCATTCACTGTCCAACCTGGAATTCAGGTGGAAACAGCACATTTAACTACTCCCCTTGATTTTTTGGAGCTGTTTTTCATAGAAGATCTGTATGCATTGATTGTGGATCAAAGCAATTTAAATGCACAACCGTTTATTTCTGCCAACCAAACTTCAAACCTTGCAAGACCATTTGCATGGAAACTTATTACGGTTTCTGAATTTAAAGTTTTTTTGGGCCTTACCCTCAACATGGGCATTACTAAAAAAAAAATGAATTGGGGGCGTGGCTTGGCGCTAGACGAGGATGGCAGCCTGAACAGGGAGCTCTGACACGATGGGAGGAATCACCCTATTTGCAGCCAACACAAGCGGAACCATGGACAAGATAGGGAGATCCCTGCCCTTTGCTAAGTTGCCCCTCTCTCAACCTGGGTGAAATTTCCTGGAAACCTTCCGGACACAGCCAGCAGCACCTACGGAAGAGCTCCCCTCGTGCTCTCCGCTGGTGACCATGTCTCGCAAGCAGAGTGATACGCAGCAGCACCAGAAGCAGAGAGAGGACGTGGCTGATGTGATCTCCCTGATCCAACAGGTACCGAAGGTAGCAGACTTGCAGTTCATAGCCCTAGACATAAAAATGCACTAAGAGAGGCTGTGTGGGATCTGAAGGAGGAAATAAGAGGGGTGTCTGACCGCCTGGGGGAAGTGGAGAGAGCAGCAGGCTACCATGATGCAGATATTCAAGAGTTGCAGCAACATGGAGCCCATTATTATCACCATCTTATTACTATGCAATGTGAATTAGAAGATTTAGATTACAGGGGTCGACGTAGGGATTTGGCCATCCGTGGGATACCTAAATCAGTGGAACACGATCAAATTCTGTTAGCTATACAGTCCCTGGTTAACAACTTGTTGGAAAGACCCCTAGACTCTCCGGTGGAGCTGGAGAGGGAGCACAGGGCCCTCTGCCCTCGCAGCAGAATGGAGAACCCCCCCCCGGCCCTTTAAGAGTTTCAGGGGGCGGGGTTTTAGGGTCATGTGATGGCGGTCACATGATCGGAAAAGGTCCCAAACGAAAGGGGAGATCGGGACCTTTCCAGGAGTCGCAGAAATATGTGCTGGAAGTGTGCAGGGCGCGTGCTCTCAGCACATATGTCATTTCTGATTGCACGTAAATATGCGGCCGCTCGGCGTCAAGGCCCAGACGCCGAGAGGCTGCATATTTGTGTATGATCGGCATCAAGGGGTTAATAGATCAGAA